ATCAGTGCCCTAAAGGTAACCTTGAAATTCAGGAAATGCAGAAGATTCCTTATGCTTCGGCTGTAGGAAGTCTAATGTATGCTCAGGTATGTACGCGTCCGGATATTGCGTACATTGTTGGGATGTTAGGCAGATACTTAAGCAACCCTGGTATGGATCATTGGATAGCAGTCAAAAGGGTTATGAGGTATCTTCAGAAAACAAAAGATTACATGCTCACATACAGAAAATCAGAGAAATTAGAGGTCATTGGGTATTCGGACTCTGATTTTGCTGGATGCCAAGATAGCAGGAAGTCTACATCAGGCTACATTTATATGTTAGCAGGAGGAGCTATATCATGGAAAAGTGTCAAACAAACACTAGTAGCTTCCTCCACTATGGCAGCAGAATTTGTAGCTTGCTATGAGGCATCCAATCAGGGAATATGGCTGCGAAATTTTGTCACGGGACTGCGCATTTTGGAAAATGTTGAAAGACCACTAAGGTTATATTGTGACAATAAATCTGCAGTAATGTATTCCAATAACAACAGGAGCTCAACTAAGTCAAAACATATTGACATTAAGTTCCTGGTTGTGAAAGAAAGGGTACAGAGTGGACAGATATCCATAGAGCACATTGGGACAAACTCCATGATAGCTGATCCTCTTACTAAGGGATTGCCACCTAAGGTCTTTCATGAGCATACTGCTCATATGGGTGTGGTATTATTTGAGGATATTATGTTTTAGTGGGAGTTTGTATTTGTGGTGCTTTATGTTTGTTTGTATTGTCTGATCAGAATAAAGTTTTCAGTTAAGACACTCTGTTACATTATGTTTGGTTTTGACCTCACTAAGGAGGACCAGTTGAAAATAGACATGTACTGATCACATTGCATGTAATTTTCATGCTGCACATCCATGATTGATCTATATCGTTTGATTGTATTGGTATATGTGACCATTGATGGGTCGAGTCACGATAAATGTGACGAAGGCCGCTTTGATCCTATATTGATATAGTCAATGGGCGAGATTGTTCGGAAATACCCTTTCAGTGATAGCATTTTTTGAGCTCATAAGGTTATACACAATTTAAGGAATCATATGGTGCCCAAGTGGGAGATTGTTGGATTTAATCTAATAAATCTATTTGTGGGCACATATGATTAATCAATGTGTATTGCTATCTTTCAGGATAACCCACTAAAGTGATCAATTAAGTTGGGTTAATGGGTATTTAAATATAATCATGGGGTCATATGTGCAGATACCAGGTTGTAATTGTAATTTATTGAGGGGCTAAATTACAAAAGTACAACATCTATAAATAAGGGGTTATGGTCCCTAACCTAGGGTTACATTCTCTAATTCTCTTCACCCCCATCTAAGAGAGAAATTCGGTTTTAGAGAAAACCCTAAGGTTAGAAGATCCAAAACCCAAAATCAAGATCAAGCAATGGATTCAGGTATAAGCTTCCGCTCTTTTAGATCCTTGTTAATCTCTTTGAATTAATCATGGCTATATGGTTTTAGATCTCAAGTTTTATGATGTAGATCTAACAGCAAAACCTAGAAAATGTATTTTATCCTGAATATTAATTGCCATTTTCTGACATTAGATTTGCCCCCCTCAACAAGAATAGAACTAAATTTTGAAAACGTAACATGCCACCAAACGGTTGCACATCTAGTAGTTGAACTAAAGAGTTCAACTCCCAGCACTGTCTTAAAAAAGCATTACAGTTCACCAAATTTATTTTCATTCATGAACTAGTAGGTTCTAGAACTTACAAAGCAAACACAGATTTTGTGGTGTTGCAAAATTAGCATTAAGCCCGCGCCTTGCTGCGGGTATTATTTATCGAGATATATATTTGATAATTTGGTTTTTTTTATATATAACTATTTATAAAAAAAAACTTTAGTGATAAATTTTTTACTATTATTTACAGAGTGATTTTTCGAACCAGTTAAGAAAATAATACACCAAATAACAAGATTTATTAAAATTTTAATAATAAAACCAGAAAAGATTTATATTTGTGAAATGTTTGGTAAATGTTAAATTCATTATTTTCAAGAACAATAACATGAAGAAGGAAATAATTTTCAAGGTTAAAAAATGTTACTTCAGCATTAGCTTGAACAGCCGTGAGTATAATTAAAAATTACACTATATATGAACAGAATTTATAGGGAAAAAAAATCATTACAACACGAACAGCATGACTAATGGTGGAAATTTCACTACAGTATAAAACAATAATTTTAATATTCTGAATCATACCGTAACAAAAATAGTTTGTACTGTACCATGAACAGATACGTGGAAGTCTACGACGGAGCATGAAACGAGTCGGGTTTGACTAGCTTGTGAAAGTGACCCGGACTCGGTTTGAAAAAGTAATCACTTGACCAACTTCCACTTAATTTGAACAACTATTAAAGTCAATAAACACAAATTAACATGTGATAATCATCAACAAAGTAAAAGAACATCACCGTGGGTCTTCGTCTCTCCCTGAAGTCTCAAGTATCACCCATTCTTCTACATTTTCCTTCTTATATTTTACTAATTCTTCTATATATTCATGAGAGACATAATATTTTATTACAAACATAATGAAATAAAATTTTATCGATACATGTTTAGGGATCTGTGCGTCCTCTTATGCATACATACAGATGGAAAAAGTCGCAGCTTCATAAATTTCTAGCATGAGTTTCTTATCGGAAAATATTAAAAAAAAAACATTTATCTGAATAGTAGAAAAGGCAAATTTTGAAAAAAAAAATACAAGATTAGCTTATCCTAGGCCGCGAGTGAGCGTAACCAGGAAGAGTTAAAAACCCGCGTGCGAGTCAGAGAGAATCTTGTGACACCGCGTACGGAACCAATGGACGGTCGGGATTTATCGCTGTTAGCACATTGACGCCGCCAAACCGCGACACGTATCGTATTAGCGAAGCCAAAGCCGGTAGTATTTTTTTTTCCCGGAAATTCAGCGGGGGAAAAGTCATGAAATAATCGCGTGAGAAGTTACAGGCGATTCTAGAACTCTTTGTGGTACATAATGACTAAAATGCCCTCCTTCTGAAAATCACTGACAAAAAGCTGTTTAGACCAATTTCTTTCGAGAATGCGATCTAATATGGTTTTAGTATACCGTGGGTGGGTGTTCACATGTTTTATCCTCCATTCTTTCCCCTCTCTATATACCACACATTTTAAAAATAAATTTTTTTCATGTAGAAAAGTTATAGAAACTTTTGCTAAATTTTGTTCAAAAAACCAATATTTATGTAAATAAAAAGAACATCGTTCTTTTCTCCTTAGTTTGTGTACAAATGCATGCGCTTTAGACAACATTCTTAGTTATTTTTAAGTCATACAACTAAGTAAAGTACTCGCAACAATATCTTATCCATCGCATCACAACTAAAAGTTTTAAATCACATATTTTTATAGCATATGCATTTGCGCGTGCCATAATTCTAGTAAAGGATTGTTGATGTCAAAGCTTGCAGGATGATCTTGAGGAGGTTGGGGTCACTTGACATTCTTTGATGGCTGATCCTCCAATAGACTGTTGGTGCATGCTGCAAAACTGCAACATGTTAGAGTACTGGAGTTTGGGTTCTCCTGTGATTCCTCCAATGATCAAGTCAGCATTAAGCTTGAGTGGAGAAGTAATATAAAAATAGGATATTTTTAGCAAGAGATTGCTTACACTTGTGTTGCGAACAGTGCCTCTAGTTATTGTAGGTCTAGAGGGGCATTTTATAATTTTGGTTAAGTCCAAGCATGAGTCACCCTTGTGATTACTTACTCAGCTGTTATTTTACAGGTGTCTGCTGTAGGTAGCATGAGTCACCCTTGTGATTAATGCGTTAGTGACAGATAATGCATGGTGCTTACGGAGTTTGACGAGTCGTAAAGACTTTTTGAGATTGGAGTAATAATGACTTATGATCGTGCATTTAATGTGATGGTGACTCGCTGCTGGCGATGGGTTCAAGAATGACCGCATTTCATCTCGGCCTGGCGAGAAGAGGGACAACTCGGCCTCGCAAGAAGGGACGACTACCTGATGAGAAGGGACGCCTTTTGACTCGGCATGACGAGAAGAGATGATTGCTTAGCGAGAAAGGATGACTCCTTATGAGAAGGGAAAGAAGGGATGCCTTTTGACTCGGTCTGGCTAGAAGGGATGACTGTCTGGCGAGAAGGGACGATTCATTGCGAGAAGGGTGAGTAGAGATGCCTTTTGTCTCGACTCGGAGAGAAGGGATGACTCATTGCGAGAAGGGCGGTAAGGGATGCTTTTTGACCCGGTCTAACGAGAAGGGACGACTCAGCCTGACGAGAAGGGCCGACTGTCTGGTGAGAAGGGACCACTCGACCTGGTTGGGTCCAGCTGAGGTGCGGTCTACTTGAGATATGTGTCAGCCAGTTGAATGTTGATTACACTTATTACTATGGTACAATAAGGACAAATTTATTTTCCATTTTTGGGTTCATGTTTGGTCCAACTAGTTGTAATTCAAGTCCACTAAGATCAATCCTCATTTTAAAATCAACTAATAATTTATTAGACATCTCGTAGATTTATCATTTCTTAAAGGATAAAGAATACTAAAAGTACGAATAAGACTATTCTAAATCTAATTAGGTGAATCACAAAATATATTTATTCTTTGAGTAACCAAAGAGTATTCTATTCTCCACTCAGAGGAAAAAAAGAAAAAGAAGACTATCTGGGAGTCCACTCGATAAATCATAATAAAAAAAGAAAATAATAATTAGGATGATAATTATGAGGACAAAATTGTAATTAGGTGAAGCAGGAATCGGTGCCTTCAACAAACCGTTTGGTTGACCCACTCCCCGCCAACCGCCGCGTTATTTTTATCGCCCACCTCCCTTAACACTTTTCCACAAAACCCCCCTCTAAATTCCCATATTCAAATCTCCAGCCGAACAATTAATAAATGCTCACCTATAAATAATCAAACCCCCCGAACTCCGCTTCCTTTTTCGTTCTGTCCAAGAAAACTCCGGCCGAATAAATCCCCGCTAGTTCGATCGCCCCCGCCGATTTCTTCCCGAATTTTTCATTCCGCCGCCGTTTCCGGCGGGTTTCAATAGATTCTTCGCCTGGATCGTTCGGATCTCGCCGGCGACGCGTTCGATCTGTAATGCGGGTCGTGATCTTGGCGAATAGGTCGGGTGCTTGATCTCGTTTCGTTCGGCCGAGGGATTTCCGCGCCGTTTTTTTGCCGGAGAAGGTGGAGGAGAGGCGGATCTGCGATCGGCTTCAGATGGTGAGTGCTTGAGATTTCGAAATTTCGTGGATTGATGAATTTGTTACGTGATGATTTATGTTATGTTAGTTATTTTAGATTTTTGAAGTGATTGAGAAATTTCATACGTTTTTCTTGTAGTAATGTAGCTGTACTGAATTCACAATTTTAATTTATTTTTGGAGATGCTTAAATTCTTTTATTTATTTATTTATTAATTTTTTTGGTTGATATCTCTGACGTGTTTGAGAAAATTATGCAGTTTCGTTGTAGAAACGTAGTTGTACCGAGCTTTATTTTATATTTGAATTGTTTTTGTTTATTTTTTCTTTGTTAATTGATTCTTTCGGTGATGAATTTTCTTCAAAGTGTTCAATTTTGTTTGTTAATTAGGTTCGAGTTGCGTGCTATAGTTTAACTGTTAGGTTCTGTGATGTGATGGATATTATGTAGTTTTATTGTAGTAACTTTCTGTTTTTGGGCTTTTGAAGAATGTGCATTTTTCTAGTTAATTTTAGAAATTCCCACCTTTTCTATTTTGTCCTTCAGTTAAAAGTTAGGTTTTCGATTTCAAGGTGTTAGTACAATATTGGAAATATTTATATATGGAGTATAAACTGAGTAATTTTAGAAATAACCCTTATTTAGAATTTCTAGATCTCTTAGTTTGTCTATTTTAGGAAGTACGGGATATTCAGAGCGCCCTTTCCTTAGGGGCTTTTTGTTTCCCTGCATTTTGCATCATGACATTATAAAAATGGGACCCACAAGTTAAAAATCATGGATTTTTAGCAAATACATTGTTTGTTTATCATGTTTTATACACAGATTTGGGTTCCCGCATAGGATAAATGCATCATAAATAATTCCCTAAATTATGTTGATTTCAACCGGATTTGTGAATTTAGTCACGTATCCTCAACAAAATTCATGTACAATCAAACATTTTTTTTGGATTTTATCACTATGATTTTCTATATGTTAAATCATAAAACCGTAGAAAATGCAACATCATGCCAGGGTCTAAGTTGAGCATCTCTCTGAGTTAGTCAAATGGATAGCATAGATTTTTTGTTGAGGAATGATTACCTTTATAACAGTATGGAATTTTTGTGGCTAGTTAAAGTGTAGAGGAGGTATAAATGGAGCAAATTTTAGCAAAGTGGTGTCTTCTGGTTATTGCTCACCTTTTTTGTCTTTTCTCACGCTGTTAGAAAATATGATTGTTTAGTCTGCATGATGCTTCTGTTATCATGATTAAGATTTTTCCTGCTGTAAATTGCTTTGTGGCTTTGATAACATGATCAGCTTGTTTTGGGACTAGCTTTGATTAGTCCTGCCTTTTCAGTTCCATGATGAATCCTTAGCTCCCTTGCTTAGATTGACAGACTGTAGAGAACTTAAAAAAAATCTGATGAAAGAAATCAATTCAAATTCAGCTCCTTGAATATAATCGTCCTTAAAAGAGAAAAGTATCACAAAATAGTGAAGAGAAGGTAGTCAATTGAAAATAAGCAGAAGCAGCCAAACGGGATCTTGAGGATTCTGAACAATGTGAAGAAGAAGTTAAGTCAGCAGGATCATAGGGATTAATCAACCTGGTGGAAGAAAAGTGCTATAACTAGGAAGATAGATACTGTCTTTATTTGCGATACATTTAGAGTTAAGCTAATATAAACTCTACATTAATGAACATGTTTGCATAAAACCCCAGCACATTCAGGTAAGAAAGGACGCTAATGATGCAGGATTAACTTTTTGCCTAGAGCCAATATACAAGCAAAGGAACCTATGAGTGCAGGGATTTTATGGAGCGTACCATCAGTATCAATATGGCAAAGTGATCCATTCAATAAAGAATAATGTGGAGGAGAAGTCTGGTTAACCAGCATGATGAACTGTATCATGTTGGGGTTTCTTGGACATATATGCAATATTTTTAATGTGGCACAGTTGATTGGCATGTGACGGGTCGATAGATGATAGCCTTGGAGAGAAGTGGGATCTTGAAGCCAGCTATAACATTACACTTGGACTTTATCCTCCTAAAGTACTCCCATGCACATTGTTTATTAATGCACATTGTTCATTAATGCTGTAGGAACTTTTCAACTACTTAATCTCAATCACAAAGGTCCAGTTTTCTGACACATGAAATTTTACCTTGCACATGCTGTAGAAAAACTGCAGCATTATATTGAGATCAATACTTGCAGTTCACTTTGTTAACTGTAGCTTGCCTGGTGCAATATATTAAAAGGATACATACTGGATATGCCTTATTACAATCTCTTCCAAAATAAAACAATATAATGTTGGATGTCCATTTTTTCTGTCTCTTGTAACAATCTTCGAAGAATTAAATGTTCTGTTGATCATTAAAATGAAGAATATTTTTCCGGGTTAATTTTCTTCATATATTGACATGGCTTGTGTATTCAGAAATTAGTTTCATTTTTTGCAAGCTTGGAAGAAGAACCTATGTTTGGTACAGAAACATAGCACTTGGCTTTTGTGTTTTGGAAGAATTTGGAGTTAGGCTATGGACGCTAGTGGCAAAACCCTACCAAGTTGAATATTTAAGTTTGTTCCAAAAGAGCCAAGTCCAGAATGTGGGAATATCCATCTTTTTTACCAGTTGATCTTGTATCAATATGTCGAATAGACACCCCTGACAATAGAAATAGACCTTTTAGGATGATTTTGATACAGGTTTAATGTGCATGCTATGCATGTGTGTCATTTTTGCAACCTCCGCAACCTAGAAATCTATTTATAGAACACTGGGATCATTACTCATCTCCATGACCATCCAATTTAAAATAGGGAATTTTTTTGAAAAAGACATTTTTTGCTAAATAATTAGCAAAACCGACCGTTTTTCAAAATATACGGGACTAGTAGTCCTGTATGTTTAGTGGCCATTATTCAGCCACTAAACCAAGCTAGAAAATCTACGGGACTAGTAGTCCTGTAGATTGACAAAACCGTGTGTCCCAGAGAATAAATCTCTCTCAAGCATTTCATCAAACACCTTGCGTGCAAAACCCAGCTCCCCACACCTCACATAGAAATCGATAAGTGTTCTGCACATGCAAATCAGAATCAAACCCACCAACAAATATCGACTGCGCATGAACTTGCACGCCTAAATTCAAACATTCCGACGATTTGAGGAGCGCGGTGAGAGTGAAGGAGAGAGGAGGGCAACGCGGGCAATGGCGGTGCATCGAGTAGTAGACATCGAAAGGGTTCGGGGAGACACGAATGAGGGAGGTCCAGAGGAAAGAATTGGGCGAGGGAACTTGAGAGAAGATGGGGAGATGGTAACAGGAGATGGGGAGGTTGAGGTTGGAGAGGCGGCGGATGAGCTTGGAGACGAGGAAGTTGCTGCCGTGGAGGCCGAGGCGGAGGAGGGCGGCGTGGATTTGCTTGATTTGGGGGATGCCGCCGCCGGCGGAGATGGCGGAGGAGAGGAGGGACTCGAGGGCGTGAAGGTGGTGGACAGGGGAGATTGAGGGGGTGTTTGAGGGGAGGACATAAAGAAGGGATATTTGACGGGGTTTTACGGTTGGGAGTGGATTGGTTTAGTGACATACAGGACTTGTAGTCCCGTATGTTTTGAATAGCCATTTTTTTAAAACCAACCTCCTTTTGGTCTGTTGGCCAAAAAAGGTCGTTTTTGCTAAATAATTAGCAAAACGGTCGGTTTTGCTAATTATTTAGCAAAAAATGTCTTTTTCAAAAAAACTCCCATTTAAAATATACTGTACAGAATCACATTTGTAACTTGTAAGTGTGGAGCGAGGATCAGTAAAATTCTAATTTTGATGATTTGCCCAATGCATTGCCAAAATATGCTGTATTTTATTAAATTTGAACTATTTGATATCAAACTAAGCCAAACCCAAATATTTGGGGTAAAGGCTTTGTTGTTTTTGTTGTTGTATTTGATATCAAACTAGTCGTCAACCACCTTAGTTATATTTATTTTGTTTATTCTCTCCCACCAGAAGAATATTGGTTAACCTTTATAATTTAACTGATTTTCCTTATCTGCTCCTTATTTTCTTTGTAAATTTGTTTCTCAGGTAGAGAGAAGGGCTTTGTCTAAAGAGGTTAAAAATGGTTTAGAAATTCTAAGGCGTAAAAGGCTCCAACAGAAGCTGGCTAGCGTGCATGATGGAATAAATGATTCAAGTACTATAGCAGGAAGTGTTGGGGTTGCTTTAAAAGATTCTGGTTCATCAGAGACAAGAATGCATGGAAGTTCAGATCATCATATTCCTTCTGGAGCTTCTGTGAAGGATGCTTTTTCAAAACATAGGGTGGAAAAATATGACATGTCTAATTTAGAATGGATTGACAAGGTGCCGGATTGCCCTGTTTTCTATCCCTCAAAGGAGGAATTTGAAGATCCATTGAGTTTTCTCCAAAAGATTGCACCTATCGCTTCAAAATGCGGTAATTTTTCATTGACCGTTTGTCATATTGCTTTTCAATATATTCATACGGCATCATTGCCACTGCTTTGTTTATAGACTTGTTGTGTTCTAATTTTACCTCCAGTGCCTTATATATGTATATATATTTTAATATCTTATAATTTTTTGCTTCTCATTCTTAATGCTACACTTGCTATTTTGTTTTCAGTACTATCTGCATAGCACGTATCCTCCCCCCCTTCTCTTTAAGGTGCTCTGTATACATGATTGTTATCTGCAATGATAATGCACATATTCATTCTCTGCTCTAAACTTTAGAGTAGTATTACTGGGGTTGCATATTAGTTATCCACAATGAGATATGAACTTTAGATTTCAGTTTTTCTTTATGTAACAAACACACCAAAATATAGTATAGTATATGTATATATATATATTATATATTATATATATAAGGTATATATTTAAGTTATATATATATATATTATAATTATATATGAAGTATATATATATTAGGTATGTATATAATATATATTGAGAGAGAGAAAAAAAAGAAAAGTAAAAAAAATGGCCTTGGTAGGTCCGGCACAAATTTGTGCTTGGTAGTGAGGTGTGTCATATTCGCATCCACGCATTCCAATTCCAAACCACTGCCCAACCATGTGAATGTGGGAGCCCGCCGATTTAATGAGTGGAGGGGAATATGTCAAGCGTTACTACCAAGCATACTCATTTCTTTTTCCTCTCATCACCTTGCTCTCTCCTCTCTTCGTCGCTATCTCTATATTATATTAATATATATATATAGTATATTATATAATATATATATATATATATATATATATATATATACTATATATATATATAATATTGAAGTTGATGTGGAAGGGTTGTGCTTAGGTTAGGTTTGAAAACGATGATGGTGAATAAACTCTATATGTGTAATGTTACTAGTGGACGTGCCTTTGCTCATGCAAGTTTACACACACCTCAAAAGTACCAGTTCCTGGAATACTTATTTGGTCAATGAAGGTTATAAACAATGCACTTGTACTGTTAAGACAATCATACAGTGAGTAGAAGATAAAGAACTGAACTTGGATCTAAGCTCGTTTCATTTGTTTGCCAATAAGCACAACCTCAAAAGGTACTAAATGAAAACTGATATGCATATGACATGATCAATAGTATCAACATCTGAAATTCGTATGTTTCTCTATTCTTTTGTTTCATTTATGTTTTCCCAATTCTATTAAATGATATTCCAGTTTGCTGGAACAATAAATTTGAAAGCACCAAGTGAAGCCATCTTAAGTAAACATGGGTATCTAATCTCCTTTAGATCGTGACCGCTTGACATCTCTTCTTGTTTATGCTTTTACAATACTTTAACTGATAATAATTAATTTTAAAAGTAGTACACCATTGTCTATTTTCTTATATTGTTGGGCAAGCCACACGAGCGTGTGCTTCAATTTGTTTTAGTAACTAAAATTATTAATCTTAATGCTAGAAACAGCTTAAAACTTTGGATGGGAGTTACTAATTTGCAACTTCAAAGTTATACAAAGCGGGACTAGCATTGTTATCTCTTGTGGCAAATCTCTCTTCTTTATCTTGTCTTGAATTTTTGAGAATGCGTCAGGTATATGCAAGATTGTTTCCCCAATAAGCGCTTCAGTCCCTGCTGGTGTTGTTTTGATGAAGGAGAAACCCGGATTTAAGTTCACTACAAGAGTTCAACCTTTTCGACTTTCTGAGTGGGATATAGATGACAAAATCACTTTTTTTATGAGTGGCAGGTTGGTCGCTCTTCCATTAGATGATATGCATTGTAATCAATATCATAATTCAAGAATATGTGATTATTGGTAAGTTTTATAGGAGCTATACCCTTCGGGAGTATGAAAAGATGGCAAATAAGGTTTTTGCTCGGAGATACTCCAGTGCCGGATGCCTTCCTACTAAATATCTGGAAGAAGAGTTTTGGCATGAAATTGCCTATGGCAAGACTGAGACTGTTGAGTATGCATGTGATATTGATGGCAGTGCCTTCTCATCTTCGCCTACTGATGAACTTGGAAAAAGCAAGTGGAACTTGAAGGTGATTACTTTCCTAGGGTCTTTTCTTTCAATAACTTTCCGAATGGAAGTGATTGAAATAAAATAAGCGATTACGCACATAATCTTTTCTGTTACATTACTAGCATGGTAGTTGTACACTTGTAGCTTACATGAGATTAATATAACCTGCTTCTTTCAGGGCCTTTCTCGACTGCCCAACTCTACTTTACGGCTACTGGGGTCAGCCATCCCTGTAAGTAAATAGCTATTTAAATACCACCTGTCATTACCAAGAATCTTGGATCTCTCTAAAAATTCCGGTCCATTGTAGGGAGTTACAGATCCCATGCTTTACATTGGGATGCTATTTAGTATGTTCGCCTGGCATGTTGAAGATCATTACTTGTACAGGTATAGAAGTTTCTTGCGTGAGCTTTGCAATCCTTTCTTCTTTGCATTTTGTTGTTATGAGAGAATCATTATGCTAACATTAAGTTTTGTTATGCCCGACAGTATTAACTACCAACACTGTGGAGCATCTAAAACTTGGTACGGAGTACCAGGTCATGCAGCTTCTGACTTTGAAAAGGTTGTCAAGGACCATGTATATGCTCGTGGAATTTTATCTACTGAAGGAGATAATGATGCATTTAGTGTGCTCTTGGGGAAGACAACCATGTTTCCTCCAAATATATTGCTAGAACACAATGTTCCAGTTTACAAAGCTGTACAGAAACCTGGAGAATTCGTAATAACATTCCCTCGAGCATATCATGCAGGTTTCAGTCATGGTAAGGCATTTCTGCAGCTGATCTGTTATTTATATATTTAATTATTTAAGCCGTAACATGCTAATAGCTAGTAACTTAATATTTTACACTTTTGGTCCGAACTCATTGCCATATTTTTGTTATGGCTAGGTTTCAATTGTGGTGAGGCTGTGAACTTTGCTATAGGTGATTGGTATCCCATTGGTGCTGTGGCTAGTCAGAGCTATGCACTTCTTAAAAGGATTCCATTGATTCCTTATGAAGAACTTCTCTGTAAGGAGGCAATGCTTATATATAGAAAAATGTCAGAACTTGACTTAAATGACCCAGCTCCTAAAATCGAAGACTTGCGTACCCAACAGTGCATCAAAATATCGTTTGTGCAGTTAATACGATTCCAGCACCGCATTCGCTGGTGGGTCATGAAATTAGGTGCAAATATGCAATCATCAAAATTTCCTTTGACAGTTTTGTGTGGCCTCTGTCACCGGGATTGCTATTTGTCTTATGTTAAGTGCAACTGCATCATGCAGCCTATCTGCCTTCACCATGGTACTAAAGACTACCTTCTCTTATATTTGTTTTTTCTTATTTTCGTTCATGTATGTGAGGCCTGACTGAGTTGATGGTTCTTGGTGCCTTGTTTAGAAAATGAGATCAAGAGCTGCATTTGTGGGGGTAATCGTAGTATTATCATGAGGGAGGACATTTTAGAGTTGGAGGCTGTATCGCAAAAGTTTGAGCTGGAAGATGGAATATTAGATGAGGCTAAAAAGCAAGCACAACTGATGGATAATTTATTTCCTGAAGTAGATGGGTATACTCCATATTGCAATGTCAAATTTTGTAGCCCTGAAGTTGTAGAACAAGCTCAGGGCCATTTAGAAGATGTAGACTCTATTTTACAGACTGAGTGTACAGTAGAATCTGCACTACCTCCTACATCAAATATATCTTCACGTCTCAGAGTATATGAAAGTCAAACAGTGCACAGCAATGTAAGATATGCTTCTCTTTCCAATTGCACTTTTTTCTGTGCTAGGTTTTGGTGGGTAATGGAGTTCTGAGAACTCTGAGAACACTGTCTACTAGTTATTTTTAGTTTCTTTCCAATGTAACATTATTTTTTTGTTTCTCATTATCCAGGATTGTACAGATGAGTATGGAGTCAAATTTTCTCCAACTAAATGTTCCACAAAGCTGTGCGGTAGCACAGGTGGGTACTCAAAGCTAACAGATTCATCCGACAAATGTATAGCTGTCAATCAAGATGGTTTCCACGAAACAGGCCCTCCACAGGAAAGTGATGATTCAGACTCCGAAATTTTCAGAGTAAAGCGCAGGTCAACCTTCAGCTTACAGAAAAGAAGAAGACAAGAGATGATTTCAAATATTTCTAATGAAAAGGTAATATTTTTATACTATTATTGCTTGCTCTTATGTGCCCATGACACCGTGCGATTACGGAGGAATGTTATTTCTATTCATATTTTTTATAGGTTTTGTCAATTCTACGTTTAAGGAAATTTATACTAGAAAAAGAGAAAAAAAGGAAGCAAGTCTTTATCTTCTATTAGCTTCCTGCTTGAAAACATGGATGGAGCAAATATTCTATCTCTAGCCTTATTTTTTAGATGATTATAATGTGTTGCAGTGCTTTATAACAGTGATCTTCGACTTTGAAATCATGTAGTTGAAGATATATGTTCTTTTATTTATTTTCCTGCCAAAAAATGACAACATACTTGGCCAAATTTAAACTTCCATTGTGTGAAGCCAAAAATTGGTGAAACGTTGGGGGTTAAAGTGCAATTACGTAAATTCTATATCCAGTTTCAAGAATAGAAGTAACTAAAAAAGCGAATCCGACACCTTCAAGCATCTCAACCATTTGAGTCAGCCTGTATGATTATGTTGATCATATATTCAGTTGACTCTAGAAAGTAGTGAAGTGGAAGTTATAAATTTCCAAGGTAATGTCTAGCTGGAGGGGTTTTGGTATATGATGTCGAACCACAATAAAGAAAGGTTAAGAAACAGAGAAAAGCCTGTCTTTATTGAGAAAATGGAATGTAACCAGGAATAAGTTTTTGACTAAAAGTTAGACTGAAAGCGAGCTTTTATCTTAGATTAGAAAGGGATAATATTAACTTTAAATGTTTTGACTCCCACAGTGATCATAAGGGAGGTTATCGTCTATAAGTCCATTACAAGCTCTTGCAACTCTTGCCAAACTCGTCCTAGAGTAAGATTTGAAGATAGGGCAAGGTTTGTACGGGATAATTGTATTATATCTGAGGTATGAAGTTTCGGAAGGTTGGGCAAGATTTGAACTAGGATTCTAGCTAATCGTATCATACACAAGGCATGAATAGACCAATAAGTTCATGTTGAGAGAAACAATTCATCAGTATTAGAGAACTGCTATTCTACTCTATTGTGGTTGAAACCTGTTATAACCTTTAGGCTAAGGTAAAGATCAATGTGTTACTTGATCGGGAGATCGACTTGGGATTGGGATTAAGTTTTAGGATTTCGTGTATGTGTGCGTGTGTATCTTGTAAGTTGCCTGCGCGTACCTGTTTGTGTGATGTGTTTCACGTGAAATGCAGATACTATTTTCTCCTCTCCTGTATAAAGGCTATTGATTTTCTTTTTACAAATAATGCTACCCAAGTTATGGTTCTTTCTTATATGCAAGTCTAGTTAGCATTTACATTACATCTCTTACTGACCAGAGACTAAAAAAATCATTGTTTCGTCAGGTGACTAAACGATCAAGAAATTACTGTTACGATGAAAAGCCTGTGCGTTTCCCATCACCAGGAAGTGTTCACGATCATCATTTATTATCTGGTCCAAGAAACAAGGTCGCCCGAGGCATCAGCCCAATGTCTTTGAAGTTCAAGCAGCCATCATTGCTAAAGAGCACAACAAAGGATGATGGCTCTCTGAGAACGAAATCAGATGAATGTAGCAGAAGGGATAGACTCCAACATAACACAGGGAAGTCATCTACAGAACTGTCATCAACTGATTTGAGGCCAATCCGTCTAAAAGTTAGACATCCCTCAAGCAGCATGAACTGTAGAGATTAAGCCTTAATCTTGACATACTATAGCTGGTGCTGACTTCTAACTGGGCTCTAACTTATACGAAACAGAGAGTTGCGTCGAGGCTAATCCACATGATTTCATCTAGGACAGAAGCATTCTGACACGAAATTGATTCTTCGTTCAGGCCTTAAATTGAGGTGCTGGCATGATTGGAAATTCTTTTTTGGGTTCTCGGCGTCGGTAATTTTTTTTCTCCACGACAGGGCAGAGAACGTTACAGTAGAAGACCGGAAGACTGGTGGTGGTTGCTGCAATTGTACATGGTTTGGTTGACTGATTCAATTTTTTTTGGTAGGCAGGCTTTTCTTCTGCCTCCTGCCTCAGCCCGTCACCAGTCATTCATTTCTTTTATTCTTTCCTCTTTACTGATCTTTTCATACCTCAAAAGAGAACAAAGTTTCAAAGAAATTTTTTCGTTTATTGCATTTTTAACATATCTAGTTGTAACGTTTCTTTTATTTTTTTTTACGAGACATTTTATGTCCTTTGAAGATCTTAAGATCAAGAGCAAGCTAAGTTGCCCCTTCTTATGTATTAGCGTTCTGAACTTTTTGTTGTTTGAACTCCGACGAAATGCGTTGAGGAAAGTCTCGTTCTCAAGCCCATCTTAACTAGTGATAAAGTTATGTGCTGTCGAGGTCTATGCGCGATGTTGTATCTATCACGGGAAACATATTTCCTATAACAGGTTCTTTTCTTTTGTTTGGTTCGCCTCCTAAAAGTAGTGATACTAGCGATGTCCTATTTCTTCTTCTTCTTTGATTCTAGGCAATCAACCAAACAGCCCCTGAATCCCTGCGGCTCTGCTCGGATACCATTGCTCTGAATGCGTGATCTCCATGGATTAGTCCTGTAGTTGCGAAACCGACCCGAAGACGGTGGTGGATCCACCAAGAAAGGAGACATCGTAAGCCCGAATGCACCGCGTTCTAACCTGTTCGTTAGCCTGTCCCTGATGTCCGTGTTTCCCACCTACTGCGTGACTCACACCAAGAGCAACAGTGCTCTTTGTTTTTTTCTTTTCCTTCCTTCATTGGTTTTTTTTCAACTTGTTCCATCCATCACTGGATATGAGCGGTTGCATCCGAATGGTATATTTTGATAGCGAGTTGGGTGAGGGCGACCGCGTTCGCGTGGGACCTACTTGTTGCCCGAGCTATACTTTTCGTTCCCTCTTCTTGTCTCGAGCGCACATCGCGTTAGCATCACCCCCGGCCCCCGTCCACCGAATGCTTCCTCTTACCTCTCATCTTGATACGATATGATAATTCTTCTCCGCAAAATACTAGTAGCTAATTCGTATGACAAGTCTTGTCGCAACGGGAGAAATTGCTTCCGGTCTCAAAAACCCGTATGAAAAGAGAGAGTTTGTGTTTTTATTAAAAAAAAAAAAAAAAAAAAAAACACCATGGTGTTGTGTTTTTCCCTTAAATTTTTTTCAAAACACCATGTTCAGTATTTTTGGTCAACACTAGTTTGACCCATTATAACATTAGTATTAAACATATTATTAATATATTATATATTAATTATAATAAAATATATTATAAATAAAATGTTATAATATTTAGTTTACATTATTATAGTATTATAAATATTACATTTAATGCAATATAATATTGTATAATGTATTATAATATTATATTATACTTTAATGAGTTATATTATATTTATAATTATTACATGTTATTTTCAAATAATTATATATTTAATTATTTTGGTATATCAATTTGTTATTGTTGTATATTATATTAATATTTTTATAATAATGTTATTTTGTTGTTAATATAATATTATACTATTATTAATATAACATAATATTATACTATTATACATATAATATAATATTATTAATGTTATGGTAATTCACCATCTAAAAACAAAAACACGAGAAGCTATGTCTTCATAGGCCCAAAAGAACTATGGCCCAAACCATCTTAGCGGCCTAAAGCCCAGCCAGGAACAAATCTATCGACCAGCCGAGTAAACGAGTCATCTTTACCGACACGAAGTGCGGGATCAGTCGACCCCCCCGTGATCGAGACGACTCCTCAAATAGTCGGCTAGACCATCTACTTGGCCAGAAGCTTGCACGACTGCCTAGTCGGCAAGTCATGAGGACAATTCAAAAACCGATCCGTCTCTGCTAAGGGGATAAGATCCAACTAAGCTCCCTTCAGATATACATCAATCAACATTACAGTGTTGATCGATCCCATCAAGATCTCAAACTCTAACAAATCTCGTGCATACACAGCTTTCTCTAGCTCACGAGTCACTTCCCAAATATTACTAAGACATCCTCTCCTGTGCTCGAATGACATCCCTTCTAGTCACTATTCGACATCTGTAGAAGGAAGAACGACTGAGCAGACAGCTTATCCTCCGTCCTGCCTCGTCTGTTAAATCCGGAACATAAGCGAGACATCCTCTCCTGTGCTCGAATGACTTCCCTTCCAGTCGTAAGCTGACATCTGTAAACCGAAGGATGACTCAGCAGCATGTCCGCTCACTTCCCAACCGCTCTCCTGTGCATGGTCAGAGCCAAGGGTCATTGTCTCAAGGGCGATTGACTATAAAAGGAGAGAAGCAGGGTAAGAAACAGGCGGGGCGGGACCTTCATAAAACTCAAGGGATCATTTCTCCCACTTGATCTATTTTTTCTTTTTACTAATAACTCTAAAAGGGTGCCCCCTTACAAGGACCTCAATGGTCCCGGGACTCTCCCTAAAACCCCACTCAAGCTCGCCAGCTGACTTGACCGTCTGATGTACCACGAGGGAAACAAGCTCCGCCCTCTTACGAGTTCGTTCTTCTTGTTTATGCAGAAGAATCAGGAATTCCAGTCAAAGGATCGGGCATAAAGTCGGAGGAGTAGTCGGCCCCATCTCTCATCATCTCCCTCTTCTTCCTTAGAGGATAGCTTCAATCGATTGTGTGATCTCGGACATCAATAATTAATAATGTTAATATTATGTTATTACTAGTATGTTATTAATAAATTAATATATTATAAATATTTTAATATTACATAATATATTATAGTTTTTAATATGTTATAGTTTATTAATAGTACTTTTAATAATATATTAGTATTTATGATATTAATAAGTATTATTATATTATGAATATATTTTTTTACATTAACATTTGTTAACAATAAATTATTTTACTTTATAATAAATTATATTATTTATTACATAATATATTAATATTTTATATATTATATTACATTTACTATACAATATGTTGTTATAATAATATTATTATATTATTATGTTATTATTAAATATGTTACTATTATATAATATTTTATAATTATTAATTTATTACAATTTATTTATTAAAAAATTAATAATATTATAGCGACTATACTATTGTATAGTATATTATTATATCGTTATTATATTATTGTTTATTATATAACTTTTTTATTATTTTTTATTAGTTTATTTATATTTTATTATTATTTATTTATTATATAATATATTATTAACATATTAAATATTGGTATTTAATATGTTATTATATTATTATAAAAGATATTTTATTTATTATATTATTTAATTAATATTATTAATATATTAAATTAACTATAATATAGTATAGTATAGTATAATATAATAAGCATGTTGATAATAACTCTATATTAATTATATTTAATATATTATGTTAGATATTATATTAACATGTACCGTCTCAAACTCAAAACCAAAACAACTTAAAACACCTAAAAAGTGTTTTGAAATAAGTGTTGCGTTTTTAGTTTGATGATGATTTAGCTCAAATTAAAAACACAATGGTTTTCCAAACGCATGGTGTTTTGTTTTTGGCAAAAATACCATGGGATCAAGTAAAAATATCATAGTATATAAACAGAGACTTGACTAAGAAAAAGAGTTTTGCTACAGGGACCCAAAATATGGGACCAATAGGGGGGACAAGTGAGGTGTCCCCCTCCTATTGGATAATAAGTTGGTTATCATTAATGATGGCTAACTCATTATCCAATAGAAGGGGGACACCTCACTTGTTCCCCCTATTGGTCCCATATTAGATCAGTACTGCTTGATAAGATATATTACTTTTTAAAATCATGCACCTACGCTTATTGAGTGGAAAAAAAACCAAAAAACAAAAAGGCATTGAACTTATCGCCTAATTAATATTTTTGGCCCTCATTAATGTTTCACCGTGGTGGCTAGTTTATAGAAAATTAAAAAAAAAAAATCACGTGACCCAAACTCCCTAAAACCAAGATAAAAACTCACAAAAAAAAAACCCAGATAGTTTTTCCTCACTCACTCACCAAACAATGCCCTAGTGCAAAGATTCCTTTTTGGTCTTGTCAAAGACAAGACCTAGGGAAACATACCACAATAAATGAGGATGGAATTCTTCTAGGTCAGTCGTATGCTGACTCACCCCCCCTTGTTTATTAATTAATTAGCCTCTCAAACATGCATTATTTCCTCAATCAAAACCCCTACTCGATCTCCTCATCTCCCAACGGAGAGTTGACATTGATTGATCTCTTTTAACCATTTCCCTCATTTATGACGTGAATGCTACTACTTCTATATGCTGATAACAAAGACAAGAACATAGTTAACTTGTCCATCTCTATTAAATTAAACCATTTGATTGGATCGGTTTAACATAAAATTATTAACTTGATTTTTTTTGGCATCATTAGGTGTCTTTTCTCCATAGGGATCCTCACTATCATGCTTAATATCTCACTAATATTTACTAGAACCTAGAATATTTTGGGAGAAATGTCTTCCATGGAAATTAAAAAGAAGGTATATATATATATATGTGATGCTCTAGGTGTGAATATTGTTTTAGATGCGCTAGGCTTATGCTGTTTAATTACTTAATTTATAGCTAGCTGGCTTGGTAATTTTTGACTAATTGGTTATTAATGCAAGGAGTAGACTAGTGTGTATTTATATATACACGTGATGGAAGTAAGGCATTGAAATCAAAGGAACCAACAGTATGAAAGCATTGAAATCTATTTGATTTCTCTCTATGATCGACCATGTGTTGATCTTTCTTATTTCCATATTAGATCCATGCACCAAGCATGTGACACAAGTCCTCACTAGCTAGGTGAAAATTGAAATGACTAGCCAAAAGCAAACATGTGAGTATGGGCAAGGTTTTCCCACATATATGTTTATCAACTCTATAGAGAAAGCTAAAATGATTCATTTTTAGCTATCATACATCCTATCATGTATCTGTATGCATTTAACACATTTCCTTCATAGTTTTGTAGTAGATTTATGAAATGAACAAGATTTATCAGGTAGACAAAGATAAATGAAAAGTCATAAATGGACTGAGATGTGGTTCTATTTTAAGTGACTTGTAGCATAAATTTCACAGGTGTGTAATAATGTTGATGTCGGTGATCACCAACTAACTAGTCTCGATTTTTAGTATGAAGAACAAGCTGGGACAATTGATGTTATGTAGGCAATCATAAAAAGAATTAATTAATAGAAAACTGAAGAGTTTTTCTGCAAATAACTATATATTAAAAAGGAGCTTAACTGATACATTTTATTTAGCTAATGAAGAAAGGCATATATATTTTCCCTAATATGATATTTGAGCCAAGGGTATGTCAATCAAGTAAACTAGCTAGAATTTTAATAATGAGTTCAAATTTTGGAGGGAAGAAAGGGATAAAGGCTCTCAAAAGGTGTGGCACCTTGAGTAGATGATCCATGCAGGGGATGAGTTCGGTTGAGGCAAGGAGTGAAGAAAGCATTGGCACATGATATACAAAAGGAATGGGAAGCATGAACTCTGATTAGCTTTGGGAATTTAGTTATATCCTTTTAAAGTAGGAGTTGATGGTAGATAGTGGTCGTTTCTGATGTGCTTGAAACGATAATGTTGTGATGGCATTTTGGCTATCAGGCCTAATCATTCATGGAAATGCTGGGGATATTGGAACTCCACTAAAGTTATATCCACTAATTAGCTCTAATATTTTCTTCTTCTAGCTAGATAAAAAAAAATATGTTCAATAAATGGTTATATACCCCTATATATGGTAGAATAGTTAGTGTTTTCTTGATAAATTACTAACAATCATAAAAATGACTAACGTAAGGAAGTTTCCTAGCTAAAGCTCAAGCAATGTGCAGAAGGAGAAAAGAATTAATTAGAGGGAATTGGCAACCAAAAGAAAGGGGGTGAAATGCAAAAGGGAGGTTCATGTCAGCCAATATGACATTTGAATATGACTAAATATTACAAGAAAACTTGTATGTTATTGGGTATGAGAATGGTATGTTCTTTACCTTTCTTTCCTATCCGTAATACATAATCATGGACCAAAAGATATGACATGAGGAGAAGCAAATTAAGTCTAAAAGAATTAAGGATCAAGCAAAAATAAATGAGAAAACATAGTTTGGAGGAAAATCATGCGCTAGCAACCACAAATGCAAACTTCATGATGGGCTTTTAGTGATTGTAACCCTAGTGGTTGGAGAGAAGGAAACCAACAAGGAGTCTACACTCACATCACAATTCTTTCTTCCCCAAGTGAGTACTCATTGTAAAGAGATTCAAAAGTATGCAAGACCACAAACTAACTTGATTCTCTCTCTCTCTCTCTCTCTCTCTCTCTCTCTCTCTCTCTCTCTCTCTCTCTTCACATAAACCATGTCACTCATACCTTTTGTAAATGTCATTTTATCCACTAGAACATTCTCTCTCTCTCTCTCTCTCTCTCTCTCTCTCTCTCTCTCTCTCTCTCTCTCTCTCTTCACATAAACCATGTCACTCATACCTTTTGTAAATGTCATTTTATCCACTAGAACATGTAGATCACTTATCAAGTGAGAAGTTAGAGAAAAAAAACACAATTAATCCCTCTCTCTCTCTCTCTCTCTATATATATATATATATATATATATATATATATATATATATATAACTTTGAGAGTTTTAATTATATGCTTAAATAGCA